TCCTGTGAGTTTGTTTCTAAAAGAACGCCCACTGTCAGACCCAGCAGACATCTCTTTAATCTAGCTCTATAATGAATGACTTATAGCTGAGCTACAAGTTTTATCTTCACACATTCCCTGAGTGATACGTCTGGATGTTATCATCGGCTGTGTGACAAACCCGCTCTGAGTTCAGCTGCCATGGGAACAGCAGCTGTTATGAAAACAAACAGCAGGGCGGACGCCTCAGAATTAGAGCAGTGATCTCATGGTCTTCATCAGGTGGCCCCAGACTGGAAGACTCAGCAACACCGAGCAGAACCCAGACAAACTGACACAGAAAGCCGTAAAACCCTCAGAGGAAGGAGGACACAGATATCAGCTGGAAGAGTTGAAAGGCTCTGGAGCACAAATCTGTTCCTACCCACTAGATCTGAGAAACAAGATGGTAAACAGACCCGAGATAACTGATCTGCTTCCTTAAGATCAACAGCAGAGAGAGAGAGACTTTTCATCCAGGAAGGTTGATGGTTGGTTCACAACATCCCAGCAGAACCCGGCCAGAACGTCGCTGCATGGTCCAGTTCTGATGAAAAGTTTTGAACATAAAAGTTACTTTTTTTTAGCTTTTTACGGCACTAGTGGCCTGTCTTTTGTACAGTGGGTACAAGAGAAGGGGAGAGACATGCAGCAAAGGACCAGAGGTCGTATTTGAACCCGTTTCGGCCATTTGGAGTCTGAGGCCTGGTTTATGCTCAGAAACCAGGTCGTCGGCGTATGTGTCGCAGTTAAGGCAATTCTACATCCGCTCTACACTAAGTATTTCCTGTTTGGTACCTAATGGCAGAAACTCTGGCTGTAGTGCCGTCCACAACGCCTGGCACACGTCGGACACTATCCCAGACACCGTGCAGGACGCTAGTTTGTAGCTCTGTGTGACGGTCTGTTGGTTTGCACCTGAACGGGTGAACTGTGTGTCGTCCGGCACACACGAAAACCCACAATCCTAGCTAATTCCTGATTGTCCCTCCTACGTTGTGGCATGGAACAACATAGCGTAGAACACGCTTCAAAATTGGGCATAAAACAAAAATATCTGCATCATAGCTGCAACAAGCTAACTGTGACACACTGCTGCTGGAGGATAACCAGCCCTTAAGGCCTCCGTAGATAGGCCAACGCCTGCGTCACCGTAGCACGCCTGAAAGCAGCTCTTTACAATAAATATGTTTCAACCCGACAGCCGAACTGGGCTGTTTGTTTCTGTAGGGCCCCCAGGAGCCAAACTCCTGCTCCAAACAGAACCGTTCTGTATTCGTGTTTTTCTAAGATCCAAAAGATTTGGATGAAGGCAGAATATCCCTCTGAGCAGCAGCTGGGTAGCCGTCTATTCTCCACACTTCTGGTCCTTCTGAAGTTACTCAGATCCTAAAGCCAGGTGTACACTGTACGGTTTTTTGCCCTTTTCAGGCCGACTTTCCAGTCGTGAGAATTTTTTCAAGCGGGCCGACTTTAAGCCTCACCGTGCGTCCTGTAGTGTACAGTGGATAACGAGGGGCGAGTAGCCTCTCAGGACCACCTCCCCACCAGGAATCGTACGGTCTGGAAAAAAACAAACAAGGATTAACCAGATTAGCGAGTCCGACCAGCGGCATCTCTCGATGCCGAGTCCTGACGGGTGGTTTTTAGACTTACAGTGGGAGCAGGTAGATCGCATCAGACCGTCGGGTCACACAGTGTGAGAACAAACATGGTGAGCTGTGAACTTTTAAACCCTGCGCTTTCATCGTACAGTTTGAGCTGTAGCTGCGTGAACGATTGAGTGTATGCCCGGCTTAACCAGTTCTCCTGCTTCCAACAATGTGGACCTTCTCCTCGGTGAGCTGTTCTGGGTTATGCAGGGCTAATCAAAGAAAGGAGCTAATTTCCAGGAAAACTTGAATTTAAAACATCTGCACTGTTTGAGGAATAGAAAGTTAGGGGCAAAACCGTTCAGAGGGATTTATGTACCACCCACTGATGGAGTAGTGCCCTGGGTGCAGAGCCGATAAAGAGCAGATCTGCCTGCAGGAGAGATCCTTCATCTGAGCTTCTCCTCCATACTACAGTTAAAATCCTCTTCCTGTCAGGAGGACTGGTCCAGATTCCACTACCGATGCTGGGAACCAGCTGCTGGGAACGCACACCCAGTTGAGAATAATAGAATAATAATAGTTTAGAAAAATAGAATAGACTAGAAAATCTCTTTTTCTGATATTCTGGTGTTGAAGCAGCGAAACTATTGTAGAAAAAATAATCATCAGTTTTTCAGCCTGTTCGGATCAAAGCAAGCTGCACCTTTTTTCTCTTAAAGTTGGGCTCTGGACTGAACCAGGATAAAACAAAACTCCAAACAGACATGAAATCTAGAGAAGCGTTGCTGAAACCCACTTTAACAGGACTGGAGAGCAGGAAGGAAACCACAGCAAAAGGAACCACAGCAGCACCTCAGCGGACCAGACCGGAGGTCATCCTCTCTTACCTGTTTCCTCTCCTGCTCGCTCCAGACCTCAGGCCTCTGCTGATCGTCTCACGTCAGGAACAGCTTTGCTCTTTAGTCCCAACTTGGATTCTTTCTGCTTCCAGCCACTGTTTGAGGAGAAAACCAGACAGACGGCAGGTTGCTACTGAGGAGAACCAGCCTGATCCTCCTGATGTTCAGCTGGTGTCAGACCCGTCGGTTGAGGTCATCAGCGGTGACTCTCTGCTCTATATTTAACCTGTTCTCTCAGGCTGCCAGCAGCGCAGACTGAGGCTCTACCAGACAGCTGAAGTATCAGCAGCCTGTCCACTCCTCCTCCTCCTCCTCCTCCTCCTCCTCCTCCTCCTCCTCCTCCTCCTCCTCCTCCTCCTCCTCCTCCTCCTCCAGCCTTTAAAAAAGCTGCATTCTCATCTAAAAACACCCTCAAATATATTTTGAGACCCAGAAAGAATATCGTATTAACTTTGAATAACTGTTCTCCCCACTGTCATCCGCAGTTTCTGTCCCGGCTTGACCTCTCCACTTTGACCCATAATGAATCATGGGAAATGGTGGGCCACGAAGGATGCTCTTGTCCCTTCATGTGCGATTCTAAACAGGGGCAAACAGGGGCCAGTGCCCCTGCACTGGAAAAAATAGAAATCTAGATAAGTAATTTTTTTCTTAAAATAAGTGTATTTGTTCTTGGATTGAGGAGGTAAAAGAGACATCTTCCCAATGGAACAAGACAATTTTCACTTAAAATAAGAAAACTCAATTGCATTGTCTTATTTCAAGTGCATGTTATCTAATTATCTTATTTTAAGAGTAAAAATACTCATTATATTGACAAAAGTATCTCCTTTACCTACTCAAATTAGGGGTAAATACACTTAATTTAAGAAATTTTTAGTTATTTCTAGATCTTTTTTCCAGTGTGTAGATCATGTGCTGGCCCCTGCTATGGCCCCCGTACTGAACACGTAATAGTCATACAAATTCTAATGTTCTAATATCCTCAGATGAAAAACTTTGAATCTGTCATGATGTAATTAAAGGTCTGACCCCAAAATGCAGAAGACCAAACAAAGAGACCAGGGAAAAGTTTAACAGGTTTATTAAAATATGGTGATGAATCCAGTGCTGCTCAGAACACTGTCAAAGCGGAACTGGAAGGTGACTGCGGTTAGTTCAGGCTCAGTGGGAAATTAGAATCTTAGGTTTGAATTGGAGGAACAGGTTGCAGACTCACTTCTCCAGGAAAAGGTGTCCTTTATGGAATCCAGTCTGTGTGGGAAGATTCCAGTGATTGTCTTGTTTGGTGTTGGGCGGACGGGGTTTACTCAGTCTGCAGTTGTTCATAGGAGAACGGAGAAGCTGACTGGCACTCTGATTTCCTGCGGTACTTGAACGGGCTGTGGTGCAGATGAAACCTTTGCTCAGTGTGAAGCTCAAACGACCTCTTGGGGAAAGTGGATCCAAACTTCCTGTTTGGAGTGAACGGAGAAGCTGACTGCCACTCTGATTTCCTGCGGTACTTGAACGGGCTGTGATCTACAGCTCTCACTGGAGCGGTTCGCAGCCGAGTGTGAAGCAGCTGGGATGAGGATCAGCGCCTCCAAATCCGAGACCGTGGTCTTGAGCCGGAAAAGGGTAGAGTGAGAGGATGTTCTGCCCCTAGTGGAGGAGTTTAAATATTTGGGGGTCTTGTTCACAAATGAGGGGAAGATGGAGTGGGAGATCTACAGGCGGAATGGTGCGGCGTCTGCTTTGAAGCGTGCGCTTTACCGCTCTGTTGTGGTGAAGATAGAGCTGAGCCAAAAAGCAAAGCTCTCGATTTAACGGTCGATCTACGATCCTACCCTCATCTATGGTCATGAGCTTTGTGTCATGACCAAAAGAACGAGAACCTGGATACAAGCGGCTGAAATGAGTTTTCTCCGTAGTGTGTCTGAGCTCTCCCTTAGAGATAGAGGGAGGATCTCAGTCATTCAGGGAGGACTCAGAGTAGAGCCGCTGCTCCTCCACATCGAGAGGAGCCAGCTGAGGTGGCTCTGATGCTGCTCTCCCGTTGCAAAGGCGAATCAAAGCTTTTTTGTCGAAAGTTTTTTTTATAACACTCCATCTCAGTTAAGTTACCTGCACTCGAATAAACGGACCCGGGGAAAACCACTGACGGTGTTTTTCAACAAGCAGGAGAACAACTTCAACATGAAATGGACAGATCTGTAGCATCAACAGGGACCCAAACCTCAGGAAAAATCTGACATAGTTAATGTGCGACATAACTTAAACAACTTTTATTGTCGTTTTGTATACATAGAGTGTATACAAAATGACAATTCGTTTAGTACAGCTTTCAGTTTCCCCTTTATTAAGTGCAGCAGTGGTGCAAAAACTTATTGATATGGAGGCTCAGGGCTTTAATAAATGGTGTAAATATGTTGTATTTGCACCGGGTCTTTGGCTCTTTACAACCACTCTTGAGCATTTTTCCTGTGGATAAACTTTACATGCACAAATGCACTTTAATAATAATTCTACTTATAATTCAGTGATAGTATCAAGGTGCCACTTTATTGTATCTCTTATATCCGTTGGTTTTGCTGTCATTTTACATCTCTTTGCAGATGATGAAGCAGACTGAAAATGTTTTATCATTATCTCCCTTTTATCTCCTCTTTCTTTCATCTTTTTTAATTTTTTCCTTTCCTGTTCTACTTACATTGCAGTGTCCATTTAATCAGTAGTACTCCCTTTATATGCATAAATTAAGCAGAACACATCTGTTGGGCTCTTTTTGGCATCAAGACAATTATTCTGTACACTGTAAAAAAAAATGCTCTGAACTTCATAAATACTAAATATTATCTTCATTGCGTTTTAATGAACTAAATAGTGTGAGAACCCATCTGTTCCGGATGTTCGAGCTTTTATTTTGAAGCGCCGTCGCTTAAACTTCCGGCATGGTGTGTATCTGTGGCTTAGAGCAGCTTTAAACGGCCGATCTGCTGTTTCCAGCCTTTAATGTGCATCACCGCAAGATGAAGCGGGTCATGGCATAAACATGGCCCACAACAGAAGCCGTTTCCTCGAAGGTAAGCTGCGAATCCCCCGCTGTGGTGCTCGGACCGGGCCGCCGCTGCAGCTGCTTTCTAGCCGCACACGGCCACCGGATTCCCCGGCTGGCTGCACGCTGCTCCCCCTGCTCATCCTCTGTCCAGGCGGGGGAGCAGGGGGAGCTGCCAGCGCGGCGGCGGTGCTGCGGGTTCGGGTCTTCGGCTGGGGGGGTCAGCTGGGTCCGGTTTGTTAGCCGATCTGCGCTGTTTGGAGCTGATCCCCGTTAGCGCTGAGGTTAGCTGGATGCTGCTGCTGCAGAGACAGGCCTTCCTGTGGCTGACAGGCGGTTAGCTGCTCCCTGTGTGTTTACTCCGCAGATGGAGGCACAAATAAACAAAAAAAACACAAACAAACAGATAAATAAGCAGAGATGTGTTTGTGTCCAGAAGCAGACAGCTAACCAGCGCTAGCTCTGATGCTAGCAGGCTAGCTCTGAGAGGATAGATGTAAACAGAAGCTGGATTCATTGTTTCCTCTGAGCTTCTAAACATGGAAGATCCAGAATCAAAGGCCCATTAGGATCCTGATCCGGGTGTCTGAGAGGAAACCAAAGGTTTTTATGTCCAAACAGGATCGAAATGTCCTGTTGGAACTGAAGATAGAAGAGCTGCTACCAGAACCTGGATTAATTTCACCTCCTCAGGTCCAACAGATCACAGCTGAATGATGCTCTGCTATGTAGGTCAATAGAAAAAGACTGGATGTAGTTTACATTTATAGAACTTCAGAATTAATCTAATGAATCCCAGAGGGAAATCCTGTTCGTTACACATTCCAGGTATACAAAGGACATATTACACACATTCATCATATAAAGAAATAGAACTTTCCACACTAAAAATATAAATATCTACATATTGTCACTATCTATATAATTCAATTCTATTCAGTTTATTTCTATAGCTCCAATTCCCATCATGTCATCTCAGGTCACTTTCCCAGTTCAACCAGATCATCCAGTCAGATTGATTCAAAGTTTTCTCTCTAAGGAAAACCAGCTGATTGCATCGACTCATTGACTCTTCAGCAATCCCTCACACTAAGCATGCTTGTAGCGACAGTGGAGAGGAAAAACTCCCTTTGAACAGGAAGAAACCTCCAGCAGAACCAGGCTCAGTATGAGCGGCCATCTGCTGACAGAAGCAGACATATTGGGGCTACGTTCACGCTGCAGGCTACGGTGTTCAATTCCAATTTTTTTTGTGAAATTCAATTTTCTTTTTCTTTTTTTTTTGCATTGCTGTCCACATTTCCAAATATATACAACTTGTATGTCATCTCCTGTGTGCAACTGTCAAATGCATTCGTACAACGCAAGTGTCCCGCATGTGCAGTAGAGGACGCCATGACATCACAGGCCAGCGTGCTCTGTGTTTACGGAAGTAAACATGGATGGTAGCGCCGGAGTGCATCTAGCTATCTTTCCCAACTATAAAAACACAATCTTTTCAAGATAGTTAAACGTAAATATCAGATTCGTGTCTGATTCAGGACCACAGAGCCAAGTGGCCTGAGAAAATCAGATCTGTGTTGTTCAGACTGTCATGAAAAGATCAGATCCAGGTCGCATATGGGCCAAAAAAATCGGATTTGGGCCACTTCAGGCTGCGGTGTGAACGTAGCCAAAAAGCAACCGTAAAAGGCGGCCCCGTCCAGGAAACACACAGCCAGGCAGACGAGCTCAGAGCCAGCTCCCATGTCAGAGGATGAAGAGAGCACATCCAGTTAGTCACAGTCAGAGAAACAGGACTACACTGGAAAACAGGCCAAGCTCCAACATCTAGAAACAAAGGTGTTGATGGCAGCAGCACAGCTGATATTTCTCTCCAGGATGGAGTCACAGCCAAACAGGAACAGACCAGATGAAGCTACTTAGAAACAAATTAACCTAACAGTCATGTTTTTGGACTGTGGGAGGAAGCTGGAGTACCTGGAGAGAACCCAAACTTGCTCAGGGAGAACATGCGTTTCTTATTAGACTAACAGAAAATGTGCAATATGCATTAAAACAAAATTTGACAGGCGCAAAAAATAATAATTTTATTGATTTGAAAACCCTTAACTACTTTTCACTGACTTACTGAAAAACAAAATTGGTTTGGTAACTTCATTAAGATTTGAACTTCATAGCCAGATGTATCAAGGTGTGAGAAAATGTATTTAATCTCCTCTGAAGATTCATCATGGGCGCCTCTAAAAAACTCTAACATGATCATAAAAACAAAGATTGTTCAACATAGGTTAGGGGAAGTATACAAAAAGTTGTCTGAAATTTAAACTGTGAGGAACATAGGAGGGAAATGAAAGAACACAGGGACAGTTCCAGAAGTGGCAGGCCAAGAAGTGCAGTGCTGATCTGCACAGTGGCACAGATCAGCACTAAAGCAGAAATGGACAGATGATCCAGGCCTATAGCATGCGACCTTGGACCTGAGGCGCTCTGAGTGCAGCTTCCTGTCGGGTCAGACCGTGTCTCACCTGCGAAACTTTAGGTTTCCCAGACAGATTCGGCACAGGCTGTGATGCCAGGGGGTCGGACCTGTTCCTGACAGCACGAGCGTATCTCTGCAGCTGCAGCGGGTTCGGTTCGGTTCTGTCGGGCCTGTGGGTTTTGTCCCTGCACTGATCCGGCTCTCGGTTTGTTGTTTAAGCCCTGAATCGTTCTGAGACCAGGACAGATGGAGGCTTCAAGCACAGTTGGAGCTTCTCGCTTCCCGGTGACAGAGAGACGGCGAAGAGACACGAGTAAGAACCTTCTGCTCCCGCTTCCAGAACCTTCTCTGCACACATCCAGCTGTCGGTCTCAGCGCTCCGCTCATTTAAATCTTTCTCTGTAGTAAAAATATGATCAGAACCGCAGTAACGACCCGGCCCATTGTCAGGGTGAACAGGAACCACCACCAAGTCCTGCTTGGAGGCCTCATTTCCAGCTGAGCCCACAATTATTCACACCCCTGGCTGATTTGGATGGCTTATCATTTAGCTTGGAATCAAACAAAAGGCAGAATCAGGCTGGAAAAGAGGCGTTCGTTTAGATTCTATTAAACATTTTAAATTGTTCAGTTATTGGCTATGTTCGAATTCATGGGCTGCGTCTTCCAAGGACCCGGTCTACCTGGACTGCATCCTCCAAGGATGCGGCCTACCTGGACTGGATCCTCCAAGGACCCGGTCTACCTGGACTGCATCCTCCAAGGACCCGGTCTACCTGGACTGGATCCTCCAAGGACTCGGCCTTCCTGGACTGGATCCTCCAAGGACTCGGTCTACCTGGACTGGATCCTCCAAGGACGCGGCCTACCTGGACCGGATCCTCCAAGGACGCGGCCTACCTGGACTGCATCCTCCAAGGACCCGGTCTACCTGGACTGGATCCTCCAAGGACTCGGCCTACCTGGACCGGATCCTCCAAGGACTCGGCCTACCTGGACCAGATCCTCCAAGGACCCGGTCTACCTGGACCTGGATCCTCCAAGGACGCGGCCTACCTGGACCGGATCCTCCAAGGACCCGGTCTACCTGGACCGGATCCTCCAAGGACTCGGCCTTCCTGGACTGGATCCTCCAAGGACGTGGTCTACCTGGACTGGATCCTCCAAGGACGCGGCCTACCTGGACTGGATCCTCCAAGGACGTGGTCTACCTGGACTGGATCCTCCAAGGACGTGGTCTACCTGGACTGGATCCTCCAAGGACGCGGACTACCTGGACCGGATCCTCCAAGGACGCGGCCTACCTGGACCGGATCCTCCAAGGACCCGGTCTACCTGGACCGGATCCTCCAAGGACGCGGCTTACCTGGACCGGATCCTCCAAGGACGCGGCTTACCTGGACCGGATCCTCCAAGGACGCGGCCTGCCTGTACCGGATCCTCCAAGGACGCGGCTTACCTGGACCGGATCCTCCAAGGACGCGGCCTGCCTGGACCGGATCCTCCAAGGACGCGGCCTGCCTGGACCGCATCCTCCAAGGACGCGGCCTGCCTGGACCGCATCCTCCAAGGACGCGGCCTACCTAGACTGGATCCTTCAAAGTCTGTGAAAATAAGGAGACGCGAAGAGTTTTGGCTGTGGATTTAAACGGGTCGAGCCTTCGGTGGCTTTCACCGCTTTACGCATGTCACTTAGCAACCGTGACAGATGACACACAAAGCAGGAAAACAATGAATACAGAACTGTTTCTTTTTAATTTTTTTTTATTGTAAAGTGAACAAAGACTCCACTCCTGAGAATCCAGAGTGGAATAAATGTTCCAGCCACCGGGAGCAGGAACTAATAAAATCAAATCAAATGATAGAAACCTTAGTCAGTTAAATAACCTGCTGCTGTTATTCTGCACATCTCTGATGTTGCTGCTATTTTCAAATATCCATTACTGGAAAAAAAAAACCTAGTTAAGTAAATTGTGCAAAACAGCAATAAAATAAAAATAAAATAAAATCCTATCAGATCTATTAGAATCTGTCTTAAATTAGAGCCAAACCCATTTATACAGTAACAGACAAAAACCTTTAGATAAACCAAACATTACCGCCACATATCTGACTCTATAACCATTAAAACAACTATTTTCATTCATTTCAGACGGAACTATTCACTGACTGGATTATATTAAACTGAACTTCTAATATTCACCACTGTCTGGCGCCATTTCCCTTTTTCCTCTGATCACGGAGCAGCCGGCTTGCTTGGACTCGCAATGAATCCTGGGTAAACCAAGGATACCGAGGAAACATCGGACCCGTCCCTCAAATCGAGACACCCGTCCCTCCTTCAAATCGAAGGACGCATTTTAAGGCCGCATAACGAGGACTCTTGGAATCCGACGAATCAGACCTCGGCGCCGCGCTATGATGTAATCGGCCTTTGAATCTGGAAGACGCAGCCCATGAATTCGAACGCAGCCCATATTTAACCTTTAGTGGGCGGGGCTAAATCAGCTGATTGGTCTAATACTGATGAGCAGATCGCATGTGACGTTTAAAATGATTTCATGAGGAAATAATTCACTAAATTCTGGAGGAAGGTCATGGATGATGACCTCAGAATTTTTTCCAACTCTAATATCTTATTTATTTGTGTTTAATGCTCTTGTTATATGAATAGTTTCAAACGGGGACCTTCTGGAATATGTCTGTCTCTAACTGAGTTTTTTGGGCTTTCCCTCTCTTCAGAGCGGGCGTGGTGAGTGTGGAGGAGATGGAGCAGCAGCAGATGACCACCCCGGAGAAGAAGGTGAGTCCCTGTCGGCGATGCTGTGCGTCTCCAGAGGGGAATGAATGAAAAGCAGCTGGAGTTAATGCCGCTTTGTTTCCCGCTCCAGTCTCCTCCTTTAAGGCACTACGGTTCCGATCATTTGAGGACGTTTGGAAACCGATCCAACATGAGGTCTCTGAACAGACTGGGTGCCCGAAAATGCAGGTAGGAACCTTTTTCTATATTTCTTTTGCTTCAAAACGATGGAAATGTTTCTTTCGGTGATGATGGTCCATGGAAATCTATGGAAATCCATTAGTGAAACAGAACCTTCAGGGATTCCTCAGAAAAACTGGAAGCTGGATGGAGGAACTGGACCAATCAGAAAGGTTCTGATGATTTCAGTGGATCAGAACCATCATCTAAAGCCCTGAACGCACCGGTTGCGTACGACTTTTTAATCTCTGATTATTGATTATCATATGAGATCAGAGATGATTAATCTCAGGATTTCCATGTCAATCTGACTGCGTATAGAGAAGCTCTCACTGGAAAGGGTGAGCAGATCTGTGCCGATTATTTTACACAGATTTGACTGGAACAGATGATGAAATGTTATAAATAATGAATAACCAGCGGTGCATTCTATAAAGCAAAGCTCTACTTAGCGAGTCTGTGGAGCATCTAGAACCAGAACAGATAGAGAATGTTCATATATTAAAAACATAATGAGATCTACATCTAAAGAATGGAAAAACAGCTATTAATGGCGTGGGACGGTTTCTATGGTTACTGAGGCAGAGAGGAGATTCTCAGAGAGATCTGGGAAGTTTATCCCAGTTTTTCTTTCTTTTTTCCATAAAGAGGTGAGAGAGATACGCTGCTCTGACCTGCTCTGTCTGCTCCTCCTTATTCTGGTTTCTGTGAGGCTCAAAGAGGATCAACTACTTTATCCGTTTCCTATCCTCCTGAACTCCCATCATGGGGAAAGTTTCTATTTTAATGTTTCATTGTTTTTTGCTCCAGTCTGTCCTGCTGCCTATAAACGCGATGTGTGACTCCAAACTAACTCTTTCTCTGTCAGATTAACAGATTTTATTTTGTATTTTAGCTGACCGTTGCTGCTAAATTGCTGCGTAGTCCCACTAAAATAGACCTGGGCTCTATCTCAGTCGGAGCTACGCTGCCCCCTGCAGGAAATCATCACCATTGACTTTCAATGAGCGCTATATGCCACCACCTCTAAAGCCTGGTTTATGCTCAGAAACCAGGTCGTCTGCGTGTGTTGCAGTTAAGGCAGATGCCCCCCCTTCTGCAGATATTCTAGTGCATCTCTCCTAAAGGCCTGGTTATTAGAGACTGACACGGGAGTGGATTTTCACTCCTGTCCCGTCCCACTCCCACAGAAAAAAACTGTGTCCCGTCCCGATCCCGGGCCAGAGTAGAAATCTAAATCCTGTCCTGTCCCACACCTTGTGAAATTACTCCCACTCCCATCACGCTCCCATTCAGAATGACTCCTGCACCACTCCCATTCTTGTTGTCTTCAATAAGATTTCTGCCAATTCATTGAATCTGAATTTCTTTTAAGCACGGGTGAAAAACTCAGAGCGGAAGCACTGTTGGTTTCTGGGTCTTGTAGTTTTTTTTGACTCGCATTATAGTGTAGGCTTCAAGGAAAAAAACGACAAAATGGCGGCGTCAGTACTGGATTTTTATTCTTTCTATTTTATTTTATTTTTTGGCATCGATCCTCGTTTTTTTTTGTTACTATTGGTTTGCTCCTGCTCCCGTCTGCTCCCGTTAATGTTTAATCCTGTACCGTCCCAATCACGTGATCGTTACTAATACTGACTCCCATCCCACGGGAATCCCACGGGAATCCCGTGGGATTCCCGAAAAAATGTCAGTCTCTACTGGTTATCCTCCTGCAGCAGCGTGTCGCAGATATTTATGATTTCTGCCCAATATTAAAGCGTGGTCTGCGCTATGTTATTCCACGCCACAACGCAAGGTGGCTGTATTATGAAATTTAGGCAGGATCGGGATGAGTCGGTAATAAAGATGCACACACAGAACACACACAGTGTCTGCTAGAGTAAAATGTGTCGTTTTATTCCGCCACAGAACACAGCAAAGCAAGCACATCAATCAAGGCACGGTGCTGAATATAAATTATATTGTCCCCCTACCGTGACACAAAGGATCGGAGGGCCGGTCGATCCCAGCAGGGCAGCAACCCGCGCAGCTAGGCGTCCGTATGCAACCCTAGCAGACCCCGCCAGTGCCAACCGCCGTCCGTCCTTTATGCCAAACTTCAAAGGAAAATCTTTCACCCAATCAGGAAAAGTGATCGCTCCCTCTCATGCCTGGAGCGCATGATTACAGAAACCAAAAAATAGAACGGGCACCCCCCCGAATCCACCCAGGGCTCGTGGATAGCCGAAACAAAAAACATTATTACATCATGGTCAGAGCATGGCACAGAAAGCTTGTGAGTACAAAAGCAAATTATATCAAGCTCTCAAGGAAACGTAGATAATGAGAGTGCTTCATTTGTGATACAAAACTTGTATGATTGTCAAACAACAAAATATAAAACCCATATATATATCAGTGGCCAATCAGGAACTAGCTGTGGGTCTAGATACGGCTGAGGCGGAGAGGAAGTGGGGGCCAGTTTATCCGACAACAGAGGGACATGAGGGCCAAAAAGAGCGGGGATCCAGGTGGAAAAAGGGTCCCAGCGTTCTCACGCACCTCGCTCTGCTAGCTGCTCCATCTTCACCAGTCGTTTTCCACAATGGCGGTCAGACAAACAAAACAAGCCGGTAAGGAACCAAACAGGAAATGCGCATAGTGTAGAGCGGATCTAGATTTGACCAATCAGAGGCTTCCTGTCTGCGGTCACCTACAATTTAGGAAAGGTGCAGCAGAGTGTCTGCGGAAGGGGGCGGGGTCACATTTGCGTTCACTGCGACACACATGCAGACCACTTGGTTTCTGAATATAAACCAGCCTTAAATTGTAGGTGACCGTAGACAGAGGAGAGAAAGGAGGCCTCTGATTGGTCAGTTCTACATCCGCTCTACTCTATTCGTATTTCCTGTTTGGTCTCTAATGGCAGAAACTCTGGCTGTAGCGCCGTCCATAAAGCCTGGCACACCTCGGACTCTATCCCAGACACCGTGCAGGACGCTAGTTTGTAGCTCTGTGCGGCGCCCTGTTGGTTTGCACCCGAAGCCAAAACACGCAGCGCCACGGCCGGTCTTTGGGGAACGCTCACGGGGAACTGTGTGACGCCGGCGTTGGATGAGGGGTTGTAGACGGCGAACGAGCTCGTCAAACCGACACACAGAATCCTAGCTAGTTCCTGATTGGCCCTCTTGCGTTGTGGCGTAGAATAACGGCGCAGACCACGCTTTAAAATCGGGCATGAAGTAAAAATATCTGCATCATACCTGCAACAAGCTAATTCTATTCAGTTTATTTCTATAGCTCCAATTCACATCATGTCATCTTTCCAGTTCACCAGATCATCCAGTCAGATTGATTCAAAGTTTTCTATCTAAGGAAAACCAGTTGATTGCATCGACTCATTGACTCTTCAGCAATCCCTCACACTAAGCATGCTTGTAGCGACAGTGGAAAGGAAAAACTCCCACTGTCGCTAACTAACTGCGACACACAGCCCTTAAGGCACAATTTTCTGTCTGTTTGGATGCAAAATCAGATTTGGTGTTTTTCTGGCCTAAACTGCTGAAGATTCTTGGGAAATCTCTGGATAAGTGGGTCAGGCAGAACCGGGCTTCCTGAGATCCGTTTGAACTTTAGATGATTGTTCTGTTGGAAAGATCCAAACAGGACGGGATATTCATTAAAACTCCTCCTCCCCTCCTGCAGCGATGTCCCGCCTGCAGCACAGACTCCCTCCTCCACATCCACCAGAACCAACTTCAACCTGATCCTGACTTCCACGCTCGCTCCAGGAATCATGTTGCAGGGTCGCCACTTCCAGCACGCTCAGGTCCCATCGCTGACACGGAAACCAGCTCAAAGGTCAGTGGCGCTCCCGATCCGGTAGAGAAGCTCATGCTAGCTTCATCTAAACAGCTGCGAGCGGCAGAATCGGGCAGAACAGGATAGGCGGTTCTGTTTCCTCTTTAACAAACTTAGAATGTTTCGGTTTGATCCAAACATGGCGGATGGAGCCGAGCTAATGTGTCTGTGAGGATGAGTCTGACTTTCTACCATCAGCCTGATGTTCTGCTCTCAATCCTGCAGAAACAACCAGGCTGTGGAGGTGGACAGCATCGTCCTCACCTGTCCAGAGGCCCCAGGTGAGGCATGACTTTCCTACTAACTTTTCCTTCCTAAAGCAAAACAAGGATGTATTACAACTAGATCTGCAACTAACCATTATTTTGCAAATCGATTCATCTTTTTTTTTTTTTTTAATAATCAGATAGCCTAAGGTTTCCTTAAAGTCGTAGGGAAGCAGCTGTTCCAACGTTGCATTTCTGAATTCTCCAGAGTGGTGCACGACTTTACACGAGTGAATACAGTGAATGTGATTGGTTGATTATCAAGGGGGCGGGATTGTTGTGGCGGAAGGTTCGCAAGCAAGTTTGGTTGTGGCCGGTTTGTGGGAAGCATCTTGCTAACCAGTTAGCAACTTAGCGCTAGCAGGTTCCCAATGGGAAATTCCATTGGGACAAAGTTATTTATGGCCTTCATATAAGCGCTTGGGCTGGGCGACAGTAGAGGGGTTGGTTGTCATGGCGATAAATCTGTCTGTTTGATATTTTGCAGAAGGAGAGTCGCTGAACATCAAGCGGCGCGTCCAGCAGAAGAGGAAACCTCTGGAGAACGTTTGCTTCTCCCCGCAGCTCAAAGCGGCCGAGGTGAGACCAGCCCTGAACGGCGGGAGGGGGGGGGGACTCCATTACCCACAATTCCTCAGTAGTTGCTGCTGAATGGGATGACTGGTAGTTGAGGTTTCTGATGGCTCTGGCTCTGAGGTTTAGCGTGGGTTCTGGGTCGGACCTCTGACTGATGTTCTGCAGAACCCTGATCCGGTCCCGTCTGTCCCTGCAGCCCGTTCGGACCGTCGTCTACCACTCGGTGTGCCTGAAGTGCAAAAAGCCCAGCGAGGACGGCAGCATGTGTCTGAGCTGCGGGAGCTGCGAGTCCCTGGTGGGCCCCCAGGCCGCCTCGTCCTCCCCCACCCCCAGACCCGCCATCAGATCCCACCCCTCCCTCGGACCCAACAGCCTGCAGCAGAAATTCTACAAAGCCGGAGCCGCCATCAGAGAAGCCCTGCCGCCACGGATGGCGAGCAGCAGGGCGGCGCCGCTGCCTCTGAGCAACGGAAGGATCCCGCTGTTGGCCGGGACGTCCGGCGCCTGCCGGGCTGGAACCCCCGCCAAAGGGAGGCAGAGGGCGGGGGGGCAGCAGGCTGAGCACAACGATCCCAGTGAGTGACATCAGGAACCGGCAGGAGGTCAGTGTTTGCCTAGAGCTCCCGGCTTCATCTGTTTTCTTCTTCTTCTCTTAAGTCGTCCTGTCCAGCGACGATGAGGAAGAGGAGGCCGAGACCGCCAGCACCGAAAGCGTGAACCGCATGGACAACGTTTCCCCCCAACCCGCTGACTCCGCCCACTCCTCTCCGGCGCCCTCTGAAGGCAAAGTGGAGGCGGCGGTGAAGAGCGCCGACGAGCAGGAAGAGCTGAACGCCGAATTCTTCGAAGACGTCAGCACGAAGATCACCATCCCACGGAGAGCCAAGATGAAGGATCAGGTAACAGGAAGTCGGACTCAAAACCAGGAAGCTTCCAGGAAGCTAACTGGGAATGAAACCTTCTCCTTCTCTGCCCCAGTTTGGGAAGCAGCCGTCTGCAGAGAAGGCTCCTCCCAGGAAGAAGAGGCCCAGAGTCTCGACCACCAGGTGCGACAGCATCATCCTGGATTGTCGCAGCATTCGGATCGGAACCATGAGGCTGATGGTGAAAAAGCCCGTCATCGTGAGTCCTTCCCACTGGGTTTTCTGTTCCTTCTAGGCTCGGTCCAACATGGAGGCAGAACCTCCAGCTTTTCATCGGGTTTGGAACCAAAACAGGAACCTTAATTAAGTTCTCTGAGTGATTCTATTCTATTCAGTTTATTTCTATGGCTCCAATTCACATCATGTCATCTCAGGTCACTTTCCAGTTCAACCAGATCATCCAGTCAGATTGATTCAAAGTTTTCTATCTAAGGAAAACCAGCTGATTGCATCGACTCATTGACTCTTCAGCAATCCCTCACACTAAGCATGCTTGTAGCGACAGTGGAGAGGAAAAACTCTCTTTGAACAGGAAGAAACCTCCAGCAGAACCAGGCTCAGTGTGAGCGGCCATCTGCTGAGGCCCACTGGGGTTCAAGGAGACAGAAGCAGACATAGAAAAAGAAGCATAGATACAAAAGGCAACTGTCAACCAGCTCCACAGGCGGCCCCGTCCAGGAAACACACAGCCAGGCAGACGAGCTCCGAGCCAGCTCCCATGTCAGAGGATGAAGAGAGCACATACAGTTAGTCACAGTCAGAGAAACAGGACTACACTGGAAAACAGGCCAGGCTCCAACATCTAGAAACAAAGGTGTTGATGGCAGCAGCACAGCTGATATTTCTCTCCAGGATGGAGTCACAGCCAAACAGGAACAGACCAGATGAAGCTACTATGAGAAAAAGCAGAGAGAGCAGAACGTTAGAGATTGAACTAACAGATTCTGCAGAGTGGGAGAATAGAGATAGAATGAAGCAGAATGATGAAAAAGGGGTCCCCATGTCCTCCAGCAGTCTAAGCCTATAGCAGCATAACTATAGAGATAGATCAGGATAACCTGAGCCACTCTAACTAGAAGCTTTATCAAAAAGGAAAGTTTTAAGCCTAGCCTTAAAAGTAGACATGGGCTGTTTCTCAATCTGTGTACTTGTGAGTTCTCATGTGTTCGTGAAACGCCATCAACCTCAGTTCTAGTACTGTTCCAATTCACAAGAACACGAAGACTGAGAACAAAGTCCCTGAATGTCGTTCTCGTCCCTCCCCATTTACCCAGCATGCATCAGAGCACACTTGTCCGTTCTTGAGATTAATAGCCATCCCAGCATGCACTGCGGCAGCAGCAGCTTTCAATGAGGCTCCATTGAAATTTAAAAGTTCTCTTTTCTGTTGCTGTTGTTCAATAAAACTACTTTTAAAGATCATTTGAGACGAGAAGATTATACTTTAAACTGACTAAGGTTCTCAGTCATCCAGGTCATAGTCATTCCATAAAAAAAAAAAAAAAAAATATCCACTGGACTTGGTTTCCAAGATTTGAAGACGTTTCTCCACCTCTCCAGGAAGCTTTCCTTCCAAGTCCAGTGGATATTTTTTTTTTGAATTTTTACGGGATTATACTCTAAAGCATCACTATATGGTTCATTTAGCGATAAAATGCGTAATTTAAAACAAAGACATGTGTGATGGACCGCTGGCTCTGATCGCAATTTTTTTTCTTTAATTTGTTAAAATTTTAATTGTGTTTATCTGACTGTGTTCATTATTATTCCTCCACTAAATGGAAAAAAAGTCATAATTTATTATCATCTAGAGACTATTAATAACAGGAGGGGAAATAAAGCTCTAGACGAGGCGGGCGCGTGGTGATGTCATCAGTACGCTTCTGTTCCAATTGACCCAGATTTATGCTGCATCCTCGCGTTCTCAACAAGTCCACACTTTCCTGTGTTCTTCTCAAGGACATACTTGGCGAGGACACAAGTCCGTACTCGTGTTCTAGTGAATTGAGAAACGGTCAGGGTGTCTGCCTCACGGACTAAAACTGGTAGTTGGTTCCACAGGAGAGGAGCCTGATGACTAAAAGAGCAGAGCCAGTGGGTTTATCTCTGACTCTAGGAGAGATTGGTTTGTGCAAGAAGCATCAGATCTGAGAGCAGAAACAAAGACTTGATGGGCAAGAGAATAGATTTGGGAGAGAAAAGAAGTTTTAAAAGCGAGTAGAGGAAATATTGCTCTTAAGTGTTCTTCTCATGCTTCTTTCTGGGATTTATTAGCAGAACTAAAAAATGTGCAGCTGGAATAAAACGGATCATTTCTGTCTGTTGTTTCAGTTTGCTGTGGACTGCATCCAGGTGGAAGCTGAAGGTAAGGAGCAGCTGTGAGGACTTCTGGAAACAGCTGGAAGGCGTCCATCTGATTGGAGAGATCAGGGGCGGATTTAGGAACTTTGGGGCCCTAGGCAAAGATGGGCAGGAGAAGACAACACATCAAACAGCCCCATTCTCCAGATAGAGAAATGTTAATAGAATAGACATCCATTATCTGTTCTAGGTTGTGTCCCTCTCTTCTTGTCCCTTTTCTTCTTGTTTTCCTCTCTATGTTTTGTACTCAGCTGACTTTTCATGCTGTCTCTAAAGGAATGAAAGATTTTTTCCAAGCACTAAGCTCACTTAGCTGATTGCTCCTTCCTGTGTTTCCAAAAAGGCCAAAGTAAATAACCCAGTCCTTCTTTTCACTGTAGACAAGCCATGATCTGCTTATCTGTTCTCCATTTTTCATTTGGATGAAATAATAGCTGCATGAATCATGACAGCAGACAAGATAGAGGAGAGCAGGAGGCGGGGTTACCAATCTACTCGCTCTGGAGAGCAGAGTTCGCTGCTTTTAGATGTTGTCTCCAAAGTCTCCAGTAGCAGAAAAAAGTCTCTAGATTTGGCGCTAGGAGCTTTTTAGAAATCAAAGTGCTAGAGGGGTCTGAAAAGTGGCTAAATATAGCGACTAAAGCGCTAAGTTGGCAACACTGCTCTTCGCATCGTTTTTTTTTCAAATGGTTTGCTGCTGTCTGTTTGGACCTTTCTGAACATGTGCAGCAAATGTTGATTCAATGTATTTAGCGTTAATCAGTAAAACAAATAAAAACAATATTTTCTTCTCGATCACTGAGTCTGGGAGCGGCCATTTTTGTCCAAATATAGTAGCCCCTCCCTCCTGCCATCTTCCAGCAGTGACGTCACGGTGCGGTAAGCCTAGCGCCATTCTCCCCGCTTTCCAAGCTAAATCAATGGGAACTACTAGACACATCTGCAAGCAACAACAATTATTGAAGATTTCCAGAGGACTTCACCATTGAAATTCACCAGCGCTATAGTGAAACTGACAATGCCCACGTGCATGGCAGCTGGATGCTGGAATACATCGGGTAAAAGTGAAAATAAAGAGTTATTCCACCTTTCTGATTCCTGATCCTCCACGGACGGGTTGGTCGTTGGATCGCCAACTTGAAGAGGGAGGATTTGCCATCGAACTTCTGGCCAGAGAAAAAACCCGTAATATGTAGCCGACATTTGGAAGAAGAATGTTTTCAAGATGACTTGGATAATAGCGCGTTGTGACAAACACCAGATACAGCACTGGGACTTGATCAACAGCCGATACCGCACCGTGACGTCACTAACCAGTAGGTGGCAGTAGTGGTCTTTGACAAACATGGATGCCTCCAGTAAAGCACATTCACATGAAAATTACTCTGAATTAAAAACACTGATCATTTATTGAACAGGATGGAATCATTTCAGATTTAAAGAACTTTCAGAAGTTTGAATTCTGAATATGAGCGACTTTTCCTTTAGGGTGGACATATAAGGATTAGATCTATTAACCATACATGTAAACAGAATGCAGCTGCCTAGTATTGGCTAATTGTAAATCCGTCCCTGAGTCCGCCTCCTCTGTCATGGGAAGATTACATCATGGAGGTGATTCTGGATTCAGAGAGAACCCAGAATGTATTTTTTTTTTTTGTGTGATCAGGTGCAGAGCTGGGCACCGTGAAGATGTGCCTTCAGACAGCGGAGCTGATCAGCTGTGAATGGTGCCGCGTCCGGAAGCTCCCCGTCCTCTTCTTCCAGACGACGGTGGACGAGTGCCTCCGTCTGCGCTCCCAGCTCAACATGTCCCAGGAACTGGGAGGCCAGTGGTACGACTGCTCCGCTGACCGTGAGTAAAGAAGCCCAGCACGTTCTTGACATTGGTGCACTGCATCAGCGCAGACTGCGAATCGAGAGCAGATAGATGTGGAAGGTTAAAGTGTCGTCGGTAATCGGTCCGTTTGCTCCATTTCCACCAGAGGTGGACGAGAAATACATCGTCCTGATTTTCGAGAACGGCCTGGTGATGAAGGAGCAGATGATCCTGGAGGACATCCTGAACGTCATCGGCCAGAACAACAACCTCAGCGGCTTCCCCACCAAGCTGACCTTTGAGGAGGCCAACATCCGCCTGGTCAACTACAACAAGGCCTGCAGCCAGAAGACGGAGGTGGGTTCATCATTCTCATCTAAACTAATCCTTGAGCTTTAGGTGGGTCTGGTTTGAATAAAAGATTCTGCAGAGTGGGAGAATAGAGATAGAATGAGGAAAAAGGGGTCCCTATGTCCTCCAGCAGTCTAAGCCTATAGCAGCAGAACTATAGAGATAGCTCAGGATGCATGCTATACTTTAAAGGAATAGTACACCCAAAACATGATTAGCCTTCATTTTCTACTCACCCCCATGCTGAACAACACTCTGGAGTACTTTTTTGATATCTCAAATGCATCTGGAGATCTGGGAGGCTTCTTGCTGTCTGCTGACATTCAAATAATGGAGGTCTATGGTGACCGAGGCAGAAAGGTCCATAAAAGTCCACAAAAAACGTGTCAATATTCCTCCATACTGCTCGTCCAATGTATTCCAAGTGTCCTGAGAGGGTAGCATCCAGAATTTACTCGAAACGAAGTCAGTTAGAATGTTTTTAGAGCATAAACAGTAGGGGTGGGTATTGCCAAAGAAGTCACGATTCGATTTGAATCACGATTCACAGGCCACGATGCGATTCTATCACGATGCATCACAATACTTGAATTATTGCGATGCATTGCAATATTTTCTCCTCCATGTTTTGTTTTTGAATGACTCGGCGCAGTATCCCGCGGCCAGAAATGCTTGTGACACAAGGCAGCGTGTGTCAACACATCCGCTGCGTCATCTACTGGACTGGAAGTTGTATTACACTTGTTTTTGGCTGATGATCGCCAACCATTCATGCAATTTTATTTATTTATTTTTTTAAATTAATAATCGATACTTGGCGTCAAGAATCGATGCAGTAGATCACGAAAATTAGAATCACGATGCATCATCATGACGATTATTTTGCACACCCCTAATAAACAGTAGTGTATAGGATTTCCTGAAAGCGCGTTCACGAGTCTACGGAAACCCCGGCAGACCAAACCAGATGAAAGTGCGCATTCAGCGTCTGCTCTGCCGATAATGCAAGCGTAGAAGAAGAAATGTGCTGTTTACCTGTGCAAAGAAAGAAACAACGAAAGAAAAATGTCTGAGGACTTCAGTGTTGAGGAAGAGCATGAGTTCTTTGCCAAGCTGATATCAACTGGGCACACACATCGTTCAACCAGATATAATAAATCTATACACATATTTTGTTTTCAAACTCCACTGAAGTTTATTTCACACTTCAGGTTGCAACAAAACAAACTACACCATCTTTACAGTGGAACACTTTTGTGTAACTGTATTTTTTTTATAGTTCTATACTGTAGATTAGAAGAGGATTCTTTGTTGTCTGTGTTATTTTAAACATATTTCTTTTTTTTATTTGTAACAATATTTAACTTTGCTATAATCTATACATTAAAAAAGCCTCTGTGCAAAATGGAGTGAAAACATTGAACAGCTCCCTGAGAGTTTTTTCTTTGTACTTTAATCCTCCCATCTTTTCAGTGGCTGTAGTGAGCCTGCTTTTTGCTGTTGATCTTCTCAAATCTGGGTTGCAGTGTCACAACTGTCCATTATGCTCAGTCAAGCAAGCACTGTTTTTTTTTTTTTTCTTCATTCATCCATACCGCTTCCCGCGCCCCCCCTGCAATGGCATTGCGCCCCCCCTAGGGGGCGCGCCCCACACTTTGGGAACCACTGACTTATGGTGTATAAATGGAAAGCAAACTGAACTCAACTGAGCTAAACACAACCGGACCGAGCTAACTGCAGACCAGTTCCAGAGGTGGGCTCGGCTCGGTTTTTTCCTGGATCGGTTCTCTGACAACAAGAGCGCATGAGCAGAACGCATCATCTCCGTCTGGCTGCACATCGCGATTCACGCTCCGTTCCAGTAGTGGGCGGTCATGCCTCTCCAGAAACAGAAGAAGAAGAACAACTTCTTCTTCAACTATAAACAACAATCAAAATCTTCTCCACGCAACATTTTAATAATAACACCGAAGTACAGCAAAAATAATCAAGCATAACTTTCTGAATGTGACGGGCGCCGCCATTTTGATTTGCTTGATTCCCTCCTTCTTCGTCATCTTCTTCTTGTGTTTTATGGCGGTTGGCAAACAACTTTTGGTGCATTACCGCCACCAACTGCTTGATTTCCTCCTTCAATACTGGCAGTAATACCGCAGATCGTCACTAGGAGTCGAGGAACCGAGATAGCGTGATGTGTAAACGGTCATCAGATCCGAGCTCGGACCGGTCTCGGCATGGATCGGTTTTTCAAAGGTAGCGTAAATGGGGCTCTAGTGGTGCCATTTTCAGGCCCCGATACCTGGCTGTGCAGTATCGGCCGATACCATCTGTTTGAAATTGATGTGTGTTTATATTAAGAACTGCATTCTACTTTGATGTAAAATAATCACCATCATGGCTTCATGTCAAGCTGCTGCCTACCTTTGTGAAGCAGGAAAAAGACTAAAACAAAGTGAATCCAGTAGAACTTTTTATTTCCTACCTGGAATGGGTGACAATAGTTGAAGAAACTTTTGGCTCTCAAAATGGTTTCTGTATTCCTGATCCCTATTTGTTGGTACTCACCGATACCACCATTTTAGTACTAGATCGGGGCCCCTCCTGATACTGTTATTGGTATCGGTGCAACAGAAAAACACTACGATTTGTGTTTTGGAGGTATTAAGAAAGAGTTTGAGTTGTGTAAGGGATTGCTGTAGTTGGAAACGGCCATCCTGCAGGGTAGCCTGAACAGCATCAGGGGAGGAACCCATGGTGTTGGATTGTATCATCGGCATGTAAGAATAAGATAATTTTTATTTAAAATGAGAAAAAAAAACTCAATGATCTTACTGCAAGTCCAAAATATCTAACTATCTGATTTTAGGGCTTGAAATAATCAATCCATTGGCTGATCGTCTATTTTCCTGCTTGAATTAAGGCCAAAAACTTGAACTATTTGATCCATCGTTCAATCTGATGGCTGCAGAGTTTATTTTATCCGGACAGGCGAAGCCTGAGCAGGCCTCCCCCTCCTCCCCAACGCTGTCCCCCGACTCAGCCGTCGGCGTGTCCACACGCACACGGATGGCCACCCGGCAGCATTCCGGCTTCGATGAAGACGAGGACATGACGGACCTGCAGCCCACCTTCTCCGGACTGGTCATGAAGTAAGTGATGCTGCTGCCCCCTGCAGGACGGCTCCTGTTACCCTTTGGTTACCTTCCTTCTATTTGTCTCCCGCCTCAGGCTCATAGTGTACCCCCCGCCCCCCGCCAAAGGGGGCATATCCGTTACCAACGAGGACCTGCACTGCCTTAACGATGGGGAATTCCTCAACGACGTCATCATAGACTTTTATTTAAAGTGAGTGTTTCTCATTTCTGCTGCTTTTCATAGAAAAGACGACGCCTGGAAACCGTTTTTCCTCTGCCCTCATTGTCCTTTTCAGATATTTAGTTTTGGAAAAGTTAAAAAAAGAAGACGCACATAGAATCCACGTGTTCAGCTCGTTCTTCTACAAAAGACTGAACCAGAGGGAGCGCCGGAGCGTGCCGGACACAGCCAACCTGCCGTGAGTGAAAGCCGGGACCTTCCGGACTTTAACCTTCCCTCTTGCTGCAGACCTAAACTCTCCGTTTGGCCTCTCAGGATCCAGAAGAAGAAGCACAACCGGGTCAAGACGTGGACCCGGCACGTGGATCTGTTCCAGAAGGACTTTGTTTTTGTTCCCATCAACGAGTCGTGAGTTTCTAAGACCACATTTACACAGAGAGAAACAAAACATTTCCCCTTTTCAATAATAACATCCTGTACTTGTCATTTATATCAACCCGCATAAATACGCTGCCGAGCGCCATAATAAAGTATAAATATCACGTGCTCAGATGACGTTAAAGTTGTAGGGAAGCGGCCGTTCCAACCGTTGCATGTCCGAATTCTCCCGAGTGGTGCCCGACTTTACACGAGTGAATAAAGGGAATGTGATTGATCGATTATCAAGGGGGCGGGATTGTTGTGGCGGAAGGTTCACAAGCAAGTTTTGGTTTGTAGGAAGCATCTTGCTAACCAGTTAGCAACTTAGTGCTAGTAGTTTCCCAATGGGAAATTCCATTGGGACCAAGTAGCACTAAATTGCTGACTTATCGTATTTTCACGACCATAAGGCGCACCGTACTAAAAGGCGCAGTCTCAGTTACATGTGCCATTACTGTATTTAACACACACATAAGACGCACCGGATTATTAGCCTCGTGAGACCATCCTGATCTTGCGAGCTTTCAAGGTTTCACTCGCAGATCAGTCTGGAGACTCTCCGTTGAAGAAAATTTGGAGCCGTTCACCAAACGAACGTCCAATCAGCGTTGGCTTTGAGGCGGGTTGAGGTGTGACGCAACGAGAAGCGCGACAGTTCAGTCTAAAGAACATGGCGGCTTCAGCCGATGAAACTAGCGTTAGCGTGGCTATCGAGCAAGTTTTATCGGAATTACAGAGTATTTCTTCACTGAAAGAAGAGCAAAACACTGCTCTGGAGGCTTTTCTCAGAGGAAAAGATGTTTTTGCTCTTCTCCCGACTGGTTTCGGCAAGAGTTTGATCTATAAATTGGCTCCTCTTCGTCGTCGCTCTGTTAGTACGTCATATGCTTTGTTGATCTGATTGGTTTATTTGGCCCGTCTATCACCAACATAGGCCAATCAGCTAACCAGTATTTTCGCCCCTTCCAAAAATTACTTCAACGGAAGGTTTCCAGATGGATATGTGGAGCAAATCGGAGTCAGGTTACTGCGTTGGTACCATGTTCTGTTGGGTTTTTCTCAGGGCTCACTGGTATCTGGCGGTCATATGCTTCCCGGGCCTGGAGGGTCCAGTGTTGGAGAAGAACCCGATGTATATGGACCCGCCTCCGGCCTTCAGCTCCCCGGATGAGCCGCAGTCGGAGGAGAACATCCCGGACCACTGCCGGCCTCTGTCGCCGGACGGAGATGGGTTGGACAGCTTGTCGGACGGGACGTCCCCCACGTTTCCAGACGAGGCCGACTCGGACCTGCCCCACGAACACTGTGGTTTCCCGGAGGTGGGGGAGGAGCAGCTGGGGAGCAGCCGGGCGGAACCGGAGCAGCAGTTCAGTAGTAAGTGGAGCGGTTTACTCCGGTTTTTGGTCAGAAGCGTCTGGTTTTTTTTGACCCGGGTTTCTCTGTGAAGGCGAGCTGCAGCGCATCAAGTTCTGCTACAGGTCGGGAGACGGAGACGACGCCTACACCTTCTCTGATGACCAGAGCTCCTGTCAGGTACCGGTCCCCTCTGTGTTCTGGTTCCACCCGGGCCCTGGAGTCGGTCCGGCCTCTGAGTATCTCCGTCTCTGTGTGTTCAGGACGAATGCAGCGAAGATGGGAATCTGGCTGAAGACGCCGGCGTTCCCGATGTGTCCAGCTTAGCCTCCAAACCCATCATCTGCAAACAGTGAGTGGAGCAGCTGAACGTTTGGACCTGCAGGGGGTGCTGTTGGGTCTGATTGTTTGACTTTTGACTCTTTCAGGCCTTGTATTCTGATCATGGACTCGCTGCGAGGTCCGTCCAGGTCCAACGTGGTGAAAACCCTCAGAGAGTGAGTGAAACCCGCCCAGGCTGGCTGGAAGGCCTAGCTGCTTCTGGTGCTGATCATTACGTGTTGTGTTCAGGTACCTGGAGGTGGAGTGGGAGGTGCGGAGAGGCTCTCAGCGGAGTTTCGGGAAGGACGTGATGAAGGGCTCCAGCCCCCGAGTGCCTCAGCAGGACAACTTTAGCGACTGTGGAGTTTACGTCCTGCAGTACGTGGAGAGCTTCTTCGAGGTGAGAACTGTTCCAGGCGACGGTCGTTCAGGTCGTCGGTCCTAAGGCGTCGGCTCCAGACAGAGGCGTGCAGAAGGGAGCCACAGGGGTCGTTATGAGGGCCTCACCTTTTCATCATTCATTTAAAGCCTGGTTTATGCTCAGAAACCAGGTCGTCTGCGTGTGTGTTCAAAAACCTGGACGGGATCCTCCAAGGACGCGGTCTACCTAGACTGGATCCTTCAAAGTCCTTGAAAATAAGGAGACTGGTGGAGTTTTGGCTGTGAATTCAAACAGGTCTACCCTTCAGAGGGCTTTCCTCTGATCACAGCTTGCTTGGTCTCGCAATGAATCCTGGGTAAACCAAGGATGCAGAGGATACATCGGACCCGTCCTTCAAATCGGGCAAAAAGAAGGACGCATTTTAAGGCCGCATAACGAGGAGTCTTGGAATCCAACCAGACCTCGGCGCCGAGCTATGACGTAATCGGCCTTCGAATCTGGCCTTCTAAGGACGCGTCCTAGGTTTTGGAACAGAGCATGTGTGTGTGTTGCAGTTAATATGCCCCCAAGCAGAAGAAGGGGTTTGTCTCCGCTCAGCCTTTATTCAGGGAGAAAATCAGTCCGAGGGCAGAGATGCTTTCAAGAAGGCAGCCGTCCTCGAGTGTCACTGCTGGATAGAAACTCGTGCCCACAGTGAGATTCCCAGCCTGATCCTGAGCTCGCCTGGGAGGTGCTGGCGCATTTTTTCCCCCCTCGGATCGGTAGTTTCTTTCTTTTTTTCAGAAATTTTTTTAGGTAAGAAAAGTAGGACATGTCCAGGCAAAAGAGGACGTCTGGTCCCCCTACCATATCAACAATCTGATGTTTCAGTGAGTGAGTGATTGTTGCTATGATGCGTCTTTGCTCAGCAGCTTCACTCATTGTAAACCAACCAATCAGAGCACAGCTCATCTAAATATTCATGATCAAACCATAAAAGGAAGAAAACCTGTGGTTTCATTCTAGGGCTTTTAACCAGGCTGCATTAGGGCTCATAGAACAGCTAATATGCCATTTTCAGCCCAACCAATGTTACACACCCTATTAGAGACCTGAAGGACCAGATACCCTATAGAATCATTCTATCACCCTATTAGAGACCTGAAGGACCAGATACCCTATAGAATGATTCTATCACCCTATTAGAGACCTGAAGGACCAGATACCCTATAGAATCATTCTATCACCCTATTAGAGACCTGAAGGACCAGATACCCTATAGAATCATTCTATCACCCTATTAGAGACCTGAAGGACCAGATACCCTAAATAATCATTCTATCACCCTATTAGAGACCTGAAGGACCAGATACCCTATAGAATCATTCTATCACCCTATTAGAGACCTGAAGGACCAGATACCCTATAGAATCATTCTATCGCCCTATTAGAGACCTGAAGGACCAGATACCCTATAGAATCATTCTATCACCCTATTAGAGACCTGAAGGACCAGATACCCTATAGAATCATTCTATCACCCTATTAGAGACCTGAAGGACCAGATACCCTATAGAATCATTCTATCACCCTATTAGAGACCTGAAGGACCAGATACCCTATAGAATGATTCTATCACCCTATTAGAGACCTGAAGGACCAGATACCCTATAGAATGATTCTATCACCCTATTAGAGACCTGAAGGACCAGATACCCTATAGAATCATTCTATCACCCTATTAGAGACCTGAAGGACCAGATACCCTAAATAATCATTCTATCACCCTATTAGAGACCTGAAGGACCAGATACCCTATAGAATCATTCTATCACCCTATTAGAGACCTGAAGGACCAGATACCCTATAGAATCATTCTATCGCCCTATTAGAGACCTGAAGGACCAGATACCCTATAGAATCATTCTATCGCCCTATTAGAGACCTGAAGGACCAGATACCCTATAGAATCATTCTATCACCCTATTAGAGACCTGAAGGACCAGATACCCTATAGAATGATTCTATCACCCTATTAGAGACCTGAAGGACCAGATACCCTAAATAATCATTCTATCACCCTATTAGAGACCTGAAGGACCAGATACCCTATAGAATCATTCTATCACCCTATTAGAGACCTGAAGGACCAGATACCCTATAGAATCATTCTATCACCCTATTAGAGACCTGAAGGACCAGATACCCTATATAATCATTCTATCACCCTATTAGAGACCTGAAGGACCAGATACCCTATAGAATCATTCTATCACCCTATTAGAGACCTGAAGGACCAGATACCCTATATTATCATTCTATCACCCTATTAGAGACCTGAAGGAGCAGATACCCTATAGAATCATTCTATCACCCTATTAGAGACCTGAAGGACCAGATACCCTATAGAATCATTCTATCACCCTATTAGAGACCTGAAGGACCAGATACCCTATAGAATCATTCTATCACCCTATTAGAGACCTGAAGGACCAGATACCCTATATAATCATTCTATCACCCTATTAGAGACCTGAAGGACCAGATACCCTATATAATCATTCTATCACCCTATTAGAGACCTGAAGGAGCAGATACCCTATAGAATCATTCTATCACCCTATTAGAGACCTGAAGGACCAGATACCCTATAGAATCATTCTATCACCCTATTAGAGACCTGAAGGACCAGATACCCTATAGAATTATTCTATCACCCTATTAGAGACCTGAAGGACCAGATACCCTATAGAATCATTCTATCACCCTATTAGAGACCTGAAGGACCAGATACCCTATAGAATCATTCTATCACCCTATTAGAGACCTGAAGGACCAGATACCCTATAGAATCATTCTATCAATCCTTTAAAGTAAATAAAGCCAAGCTGCTTTCTAGCTTGAAGCTACAGAACAGAGCAGATAAACAACCAGAGCGTTGAAGCATCAAAGCAGCTTGACCACAGTTTGATCCAGCGTCCAGTTTTCTGCGTTTTTTGCCGTTTTTTTATGTAGTGATATTGTTGTGTCAAAGTTGTTTTTGATTCCAAATGTGCTGCAAAAAAAACGGGATAAAACTTCCACTTCCACTGGGAATTATTGCTGAAAATTCAGCAGCATTTCTGTTTTGTTTTTCTTTTAATTATTGAACTTTGTTTTGAGGATTTTTGCTCTTCTCTCCCTGCAGAACCCCATTCCCAGTTTCCAGCTGCCCATGAACCTGTCCGACTGGTTCCCCCAGCAGCGCATGAAGACGAAGCGCCTGGAGATCAAGGAGCTGATCCTGAAGATCAAAGATCAACAAGAGCTGGACAAGAAGGAGGCGGAGCAGGCAGAGGCCTGGCCCGGCTCTCCGGAGGAGCCGGAGATCGAAGAGACTCCTGGACCAATGCCGTCCATCGGCCCCTGAAAGACGGGTCTGAGCGGGGCCACACCGGCTCTAGGCAAACCGCTTCTATGGACCTCCGTCAGCCACACGCACCAGACTGATAATCTGTACAGAGCGAGACATGACGTGTAAATACGCTGCCTTTGTAACCTCCCGTTTCATCCGCAGACCGACCCGTTAAGTTATGGTTTCCTACGTGTTGTTCTCTGAGCAGCAGCTCAAGCTTTTGCCTTGTTTAGAGGAACGTTCTGATTTGAACCTTGTAAGTATTGTAAGTTAAGATGGAGAAGATGGGCTGTTTGACAGTAGCTAGGTGCTAGTAGCGTCTCTGCCTCATGGACTGGATTCATTTTCCACATTAAAATCAAACTTGGATGGAAGATGGTGTGGTTTTCTGTCGACGTTCGATCTGCTGAAGCGGAAAAAACGTCTAAAACCTGCGGTTGTGGAGGGGAAGAGCAGCGGGGAGAACACACAGCCCTGTGGAGTGCCACCCTTCACCTTCTGACTGCTGACGGTGAGGATGTTTGCAGTTAGTGTCTGGATCTGGGATGAAGTCTACAGGAAGGGGCCTGAAGGTAGTGGGACGGTTTTTCCCTGCCCTACAGCGGGAAGCCTTCAGTCTTTCTTTAAATTGTGGTCATTAGCTGTAGGTAGCAGGGGCGGCTTTAAACGGGGGCCAGCAGGGGGCAGAACCCCTCTAAGAGCTGGTCAGGGGCAGATTCAGGAAATTTGGGGCCGTATACGAAGACAAAACATAAGACAGCCCCATTCTACAAATAGAGAAATGTTAATAGAATAGACATCCATTATCTGTTCTAGGTTGTGTCCCTCTCTTCTTGTCCCTTTTCTTCTTGTTTTCCTCTCTATGTTTTGTACTCGGCTGACTTTTCATGCTGTCTCTAAAGGAATGAAAGATTTTTTTCCAAGCACTAAGCTCACTTAGCTGATTGCTCCTTCCTGTGTTTCCAAAAAGGCCAAAGTAAATAACCCAGTCCTTCTTTTCACTGTAGACAAGCCATGATCTGCTTATCTGTTCTCCATTTTTCATTTGGATGAAATAATAGCTGCATGAATCATGACAGCAGACAAGATAGAGGAGAGCAGGAGGCGGGGTTACCAATCTACTCGCTCTGGAGAGCAGAGTTCGCTGCTTTTAGATGTTGTCTCCAAAGTCTCCAGTAGCAGAAAAAAGTCTCTAGATTTGGCGCTAGGAGCTTTTTAGAAATCAAAGTGCTAGAGGGGTCTGAAAAGTGGCTAAATATAGCGACTAAAGCGCTAAGTTGGCAACACTGCTCTTTGCATGGTTTGTTTTCAAATGGTTTGCTGCTGTCTGTTTGGACCTTTCTGAACATGTGCAGCAAATGGACTGATCCAATATGGAGGACACTGAAGGGGGGGCTGAGACACACTTAATATTATCAGCGTTCTGATGGCATTTTAGCCAAAAACATAATGTGCAGAAATAAGGAATATTTGTATTAATCATACATGCAAACACCGTTTTATGGGGCCCCCAGGAAGTTGGGGCACCTGCCTAGTATTGCCTGATGGTAAATCCCCCCCCCCTACTCAGGATAACCTGAGCCGCTCTAACTAGAAGCTTTATCAAAAAGGAAAGTTTTAAGCCTAGCCTTAAAAGTAGACAGGGTGTCTGCCTCACGGACTAAAACTGGTGGTTGGTTCCACAGGAGAGGAGCCTGAGAACTAAAAATCTATATCCACTCTTTTTATATTGTCTGTTGTATTTTTATCTTTTATGGCATCTTGCTTTTACTCTTTGTACTCTATATAAGCTACTTTAACCAGTATTTCCCTGAGGGAGTAATCCCAAAGGATAAATAAAGTTGAGTCTAATTCTATTAGGAAGCTATATGAGCTTTAAATGATATCTGGGAGTCAAAAGCCAAAAATCTAAAATAGTTAGATTGGATTTTTCATATCACCGTTTCATCTAGAAAGGGGATTTGGTTGAATGCAAAGAATAGAAAATTATTTATTGTTCAAACAGAATTGAATCAACAGTGTCTTCCATTCATTATTGGTTCTCTGAAATCAAAGCTTTGATGTTTAGTTTTATCTCTGGCTGCGGTCGTTCCTGAGGTTCCAACAAGCAGCTCTTTGTCGTTGCAGATGTCTGACAGAGGAGAACAATGGAAAAAAGATTTTCTATGACAGTGAAATGTTTGAAATCTGACACTGGGGAAAAAACTGACACTTGATTTAAAACCCAAATTCAGTTTCAGGGGGAAGTGCATAGATGCACGCCGCACTTTTCAGATTATTCATAAAAAAATTAACATGCATTAATATCTGTTTCTCTGTGTTACTTGATGCAGTTTGCACCATAGAGAGACATAAGAGTAGCATTGACTGTCGAAGCGCAGAAATTACGGGCGCCATCTTGGGGAGGTCGACAGCTACCCTAACCAGCTGGTGTAGGGAGAACAGATACCGTTTGTATATCTTTGTATATAAAATAAAAAAATCACAATATTGTTCCAAAATGGGTAAATTTTGATGTTACAGCAGCAAAACATTACAGCAAAAGTGGTCACACAACTGTAGATCTAAAAAAAAGTGTATAAAATAACAGAATAGGTGACAGAGTTAAAAAAGTACAAACAATAAATTAATAAAATACTGTACTGCAGTGTTTTTACAAAGATAAATACAGTGAATCTTTTTTGTTTTCTGCAAAAAAAAAAAAAAAAACAACCGTGAAAATCAGTTCGGTGAGTTAAAGTTGATTAAAATAGATTATTTGCCTGCTAAACACATTACAGACCGGTGTAGGTACCAGATTGACTCGGGCTGCCAGATTGACTCGGGGGCCTGCGCCTTTTGATGACGTCACAATACATAATTGTTTTAACGTTTGCACAATTGCGCAAAACATTTTGATTGGTCTGGACAGCTTACTAAAGTAATTATAGCGGGGTGTAGGTTTTATTCGAAAGCGGGATTGCTGTTTGTAAACGGACAATTTTACGAAGACATTCTCCATGGTCCCTGCGCCTTCTGATGACGTCACCGAATTCGCCATGGGCCTTGCGCCTCCCGATGACGTGACATTATGGCAATGCCACTCAAACAAACTACATTGAGCCCGCGGTCTGCATTTGTAACGAGAATAAATTCAGGAGAATGAAGCTAAAGGGATACAAAAATAAACTTGTAATATTACAAAACCAAAAATACTACGAATACAAAGTATATTCAGAGATTAAAGTCCCTCTGATACTGTTTAAGTGACTGAGAAACTGCAGATTTGCCACATTTAAGATGGCGGACGCTCTGACGCATCTCAAAAGGCGCAGGCCCCCGAGTCAATCTGGCAGCCCGAGTCAATCTGGTACCTACACCGGAGCTGTCGACCGCCCCAAGATGGCGCCCCCAAATCACGTCAGCGCCCCTAGGCGAAAGCGACCGATGCTGGATGTTTTTTTTTATTTTTTATTAATGCTTTATTGGAATTCCATGTAACATTACAGAATTAATCGAACGTAGGTGAAAGAATAAGGTAAGGTAGAAGGTAAAAATAAATAAATGAAATAAACAAATAAAAAAAATAAACATTAAATAATACATAGAGGTTTACATTGAGTTTACGGTCATTTACAAAACTGATTACAAATGACAACAAATGAAAATCTCAAATTCATCATATCAGAAAATTAGAATATTGTGAAAAGGTTCAAAATTGATGGCCCCTGGTGCCACACTCTAATCAGCTAATTAACTCAAACCCCACAAAAGCCTTTAAATGGTCTTTCAGTCTAGTTCTATAGGCTACACAATCATGGGGAAGACTGCTGACTTGACAGTTGTCCAAAAGACGACCATCGACACCTTGCACAAGGAGGGCAAGACACAAAAGGTCATCGCGAAAGAGGCTGGCTGTTCACAGAGCTCAGTGTCCAAGCACATTAATAGAGAGGCGAAGGGAAGGAAAAGATGTGGTCGAAAAAAGTGTACAAGCAAAAGAGATAACCGCACCCTGGAGAGGATTGTGAAACAAAACCCATTCAAAAATGTGGGGGAGATTCACAAAGAGTGGACTGCAGCTGGAGTGAGTGCTTCAAGAACCACCACACACAGACGTATGAAAGACATGGGTTTCTGCTGTCGCATTCCTTGTGTCAAGCCACTCTTGAACCACAGACAGCGTCAGAAGCGTCTTGCCTGGGCTAAAGAGAAACAGGACTGGGCTGCTGGTGAGTGGTCCAAAGTCATGTTCTCTGATGAAAGTAAATTTTGCATTTCCTTTGGAAATCAAGGTCCCAGAGTCTGGAGGAAAAGAAGAGAGGCACTTCATCCACGTTGCTTGAAGTCCAGTGTAAAGTTTCCACAGTCAGTGATGGTTTGGGGTGCCATGTCATCTGCTGGTGTTGGTCCATTGTGTTTTCTGAGGTCCAGGGTCAACGCAGCCACATACCAGGAAGTTTTAGAGCACTTCATGCTTCCTGCAGCTGACCAACTTTTTGGAGATGCAGATTTCATTTTCCAACAGGACTTGGCACCTGCACACAGTGCCAAAGCTACCAGTACCTGGTTGAAGGACCATGGTATCCCTGTTCTTAATTGGCCAGCAAACTCTCCTGACCTTAACCCCATAGAAAATCTATGGGGTATTGTGAAGAAGAAGATGCAATACACCAGACCCAACAATTCAGAAGAGCTAAAAGCCACTATTAGAGCAACCTGGGCTATCATAACACCTGAGCAGTGCCACAGACTGATCGACTCCATGCCACGCCGCATTGCTGCAGTAATACAGGCCAAAGGAGGCCCAACTAAATACTGAGTGCTGTACATGCTCATACTTTTCATGTTCATACTTTTCAGTTGGCCAACATTTCTATAAATCCTTTGTTTTTATTGGTCTTCAGTAATATTCTAATTTTCTGATATGATGAATTTGAGATTTTCATTTGTTGTCATTTGTAATCATCAAAATTAAACAAAATAAACATCTGAAATATATGAGTTTGTATGTAATGTATGAATATAATATACATGTTTCACTTTTTAAATGGAATTACTGAAATCAATCTACTTTTTCATGATATTCTAATTTTATGACCAGCACCTGTATATACTCTTATATATCTATGGTTTGCACTAGTCTGTGTACATAGCGAGTCCATTTTCTTCTTCTTTTATTTGATTGGCGGATTGCAAACAGCTTATACGACCATACCGCCACCTACTGTATAAAAGTGTTTAACCGTTAGGTTCCACCTACTATATTCTATTTTATAATTTTGTGTTATGTAAAAATAAAAACAATGTTTTATTAATGACCCTAATTTCGTTCGTGTCTCCATCTGTCCCTAATATTCCTTTAAAGCTCCATTCTCTCCATTTTTACCTAATTCCTTCATCCTTTCTCTTTGTTTGAATGAAAGGGGGAAAAAATGGTTGACGTGTAAACAGCGTCCCCTGGTGGGGGGTTCTCCGCTCAGCTATAAAGGCATCGTGTGACGTCACGGGGCTGTTTCCCAGGATCGCTGCGGGAGTGGGAAGCTGCTGATCGGGAAGAGAGTGGACCAACCCGCCGGCAGAGGGACGCAGTTTAACCAGGACTCCCGGCCGAAGCTGCGCTCCTCTTTCCGGGGATTTAGAAGATATTTTCTGCTATAATTTAAATACCAACTGCATTCCGGGAGGTTCTGTTCAGGAGAGCCAGGTAAGAACAGCGGGAGGTTCTGGTGGATGAGACCGAGCTGTTAGCTAGCTGACCGGGCTACAGAGCGCAGCGTCCCGGTTCGAGTCTCTGGACCTGATGAGGGTGCCGGTACCGCACTAAGAGCCAAGCACCTGCCCATAGCGGGACTAATTAGGGCAGCGGATATGAACTGTAACTTTTTTATTGTTTTCATTTTAAATCAGGTAATTTTAAAACCATAACTATGTTTCTGATTGGCCAGCGTTGTTTTCACTTGCTTCCACCAAACTTCATGTAATAAAGAGTTAATTTAGAGCAGAGCGGTCGCCATGAAGGCCGTGGAGGTGGGGTGGGGGTGGTTCAATGCACTCGGGTCGCGGTGGGTCCGACCGTTGATCCGTGGCGGAAACGCTGAGACACGGACGGCTGTGAGGCTGAGGTCTGGTCCCCGGAGCAGGAGCCCCGCTGCGGCCTGCAGGCTGACAGGAGGCGGCTGCTGCTGCCGAGCCTGGGAACCAGAACCCAGGAGGGACATGCACTGAATGGAAACAGCAGGCTGGGCTGATGGGTTCGGCTTGTGGTGTTAGTGCAGGAACCGTGCTGATGCACCACTGAAGCATGTTCAGGGATTATATAAGAGCTCTCATTGTGTTTGCTCTCAGCCATTATTCCAGGCTGCTCTCCTTTCTGTGTTGTTCTTTTAATCTGTGTCATTCTACCTGTCCAGATCTCACACTATTATCCTTCAAGGATCCCAGTTTCCTGATGGGCGGAGGCCTCTGCAACCCACGGTTCCTCATACCTGGAGTGGACTTTGACTTTTGCCTCCGTCCTCCTGGTTTTATGGCTGGGATGCCATAAAGTTCACGTGTTTCCTCGTGTTCTCTCTCCTTCATCCATCCCCTCCTGCTCCTGAACTTCTCCTCAGCACCTCTGGTTCCTGAAATGCGCCTAAAGGAGGCTGCAGGAGGAGTTTGGATGGAGAGAAACTAGAAAAACTGAGATAACGGGGGCAGTGGCGTCATGTCGAAACAGGAAATAGTTCCTATTGTTTGCTGTTCTTCCTGAGTTTGGGGATGTGCGAGTCTTTTTAACAGATGCCTGGTGGGTCAGAGATGGGTCACGGACACCTTCTGAGCACCTCTAGTAAAGCCCAGGAGTGTTTGAACCAATGAGACGGAGGGAAATCAGGAGAAGAAGGAGTAAAGACATCAACAGGATCAGATGGAAAACACTTGCAGACTGGAGGCGACCTTATCTGCAGGCGTTTCCTGTAAGCAGAGCCAGAGTCTCCTGCAGGACGTTTGCACTTTTCTGACTCTGGAGTGGAAATAAAAGGACAAATAAATCTGTAGTTTAACTGGTTTAGGTTCAGGTGAGAGTTTTAGAGCATCAGATATTGGAGCATCAAGGCAGAATGAGATGATGGGGTTGTTTGTTACCATGGTAACGGGTCAAACCAATGTTCTGCATACCTATAGTCAATATGCATCAGATTTGCATTTATCTGTGTAGTTTTGCATGAAAAAAACAATTTAAGGTCAGATCGCCATATAAAATAAGTAATTAAATCGTTTTTTTGTACATGACTTAAGGTTTTATAAAGAGAAAGGGATTAACAGCTATTGGCTGTGGGTATGCTGGTCTGACGGGGTATGCTCATCTGACAGAGGAGGTGCGCATTAAGGTTTAAACTCTTGATGTAGGATCATTGGTCGGGTTTCAGGACCCGATGGAGACCAAGGAAGTCGTCCTTCTGATTAAACTTCCCGGCAGGAACATGAAGGCGGGGAGTTCGTCCACCATTATGGAGGGAGATTTGTTCCGTTATTTTTTTTAGAGCAAATAACATGTTTGTGAATAGAAGTTTAAGGAAAAGTAACTTGGCTGTTTTCTCAGATTTTAGTTTTTCAAATATTTTTTTTTTCATGAAGTTTCCCAAAAATCACGTTTTTTTTTCAAATAGTTTTTCCCGATCTCTCCCCTTCAAGCCTACGGAAGCAGAGAGCGGTCGTACTTGACTTTTTTTTTGTCCATAACAATGACATATCTATCTCGTTATCAGGGTTAAACAATACATTTTTTTCTCGAGATAATTAGATAATTATCTCGTTATCTGGGGTCGTTTTGGGGGTTAATGCATCTTATAGCTGTTTCAGGCGTAACACCGGCGGCGTAGGTCTAACGGCTTATGAATCAGAGTGGAAGCAAATCATCAAACCAACAACGTCGTCTCGTTACCGAAAACTTAAATACAGGATTATTTACAGAATCACACATAGGTGGCCATGACTTCTACTTACAAATACTCTCCCGCTTTTTGTGGGATTGAAGGTTGGAATCGGTTTTAACACCAATCATCTTTTTATGGCGTGAAAACAGCTTTGTTATCTTCAGATACTGAGAAAATTAACTAGTTTTCTTGAGAAAACCACTGTGAAAAAGTATCGGAGCGACACGACCGCTCTGGGCTTCCGTACGAGCCCGTTCCAAACTCTCGCTCCTCGCTCCTGTTGCTAACGTGCGGCGGACCAATAGAAATGCGTCTTCGCTCCAAAGCACGCCACCAGCAGTGAGGAGAATGTGATCCGAGTTCACAAACCAAATTCTTCTGAAATTGAGTTTTACATTCTGGAATGGAGACGTTTGAAAAATGGAAAAAAAGAAATTTCCAGTTTAAAAATCTGTTCTGTTCTTGTAACAATAATGGAACAAACGTCCCTCCGTACACAGGAACTCAGAGTCTTCAGGATCGTTTTGGGTCTTCCTGTGTTCTGGTTCTGTTAGCGGGCCGCTGTGTTCTGGCTGATCCGGGGTCCGTGGTTCTGACTAAGGATTAGCCGTTATCCACTTAGCTCACATGAGGAGGATCAGAACCGGGCTGCAGGCCGGGTCGACCCGCTTAATTGGAGCAGGAACCATCAGCTCTCTTAGAGTTCTGCTTCTGAAGGGTTAATCTGAGGTTCTGATGGGTTAGTCTGAGGTTCTGCTGGGTTAGTCTGTGGTTCTGATGGGTTAGTCTGTGGTTCTGATGGGTTAGTCTGTGGTTCTGATGGGTTAGTCTGGTTCTGATGGGTTAGTCTGAGGTTCTGATGGGTTAGTCTGGTTCTGATGGGTTAGTCTGGTTCTGATGGGTTAGTCTGTGGTTCTGATGGGTTAGTCTGGTTCTGATGGGTTAGTCTGAGGTTCTGATGGGTTAGTCTGGTTCTGATGGGTTAGTCTGGTTCTGATGGGTTAGTCTGGTTCTGATGGGTTAGTCTGAGGTTCTGATGGGTTAGTCTGTGGTTCTGATGGGTTAGTCTGTGGTTCTGCTGGGTTAGTCTGTGGTTCTGATGGGTTAGTCTGTGGTTCTGATGGTCTAATCTGAGGTTCTGCTGGGTTAGTCTGAGGTTCTGATGGGTTAATCTGAGGTTCTGCTGGGTTAGTCTGTGGTTCTGATGGGTTAGTCTGTGGTTCTGATGGGTTAGTCTGTGGTTCTGATGGGTTAGTCTGGTTCTGATGGGTTAGTCTGAGGTTCTGATGGGTTAGTCTGGTTCTGATGGGTTAGTCTGGTTCTGATGGGTTAGTCTGTGGTTCTGATGGGTTAGTCTGGTTCTGATGGGTTAGTCTGAGGTTCTGATGGGTTAGTCTGGTTCTGATGGGTTAGTCTGGTTCTGATGGGTTAGTCTGGTTCTGATGGGTTAGTCTGAGGTTCTGATGGGTTAGTCTGTGGTTCTGATGGGTTAGTCTGTGGTTCTGCTGGGTTAGTCTGTGGTTCTGATGGGTTAGTCTGTGGTTCTGATGGTCTAATCTGAGGTTCTGCTGGGTTAGTCTGAGGTTCTGATGGGTTAATCTGAGGTTCTGATGGGTTAGTCTGTGGTTCTGATGGGTTAATCTGAGGTTCTGCTGGGTTAGTCTGAGGTTCTGCTGGGTTAGTCTGAGGTTCTGCTGGGTTAGTCTGAGGTTCTGATGGGTTAGTCTGAGGTTCTGATGGGTTAGTCTGAGGTTCTGCTGGGTTAGTCTGAGGTTCTGATGGGTTAGTCTGAGGTTCTGCTGGGTTAGTCTGAGGTTCTGCTGGGTTAGTCTGAGGTTCTGATGGGTTAGTCTGAGGTTCTGCTGGGTTAGTCTGAGGTTCTGCTGGGTTAGTCTGAGGTTCTGATGGGTTAGTCTGAGGTTCTGATGGGTTAGTCTGAGGTTCTGCAGCTGTCGACCCGTCTGAGGATCGTAGATCTCTGCTGTTCAGCTTCAGGTTCCTCTGATGGTGCTGATCTGAGGGACTCGTTCTGTTCGGTCCCACTTGTTCCGGTCCTGGGCTCTGAGGCCCCCCTGGGCTCTGGGGGCCCAGGGCTCTGGGGGCCCGGGGCTCTGACGGGCCCGGGGCTCTGAGGCCCCCCTGGGCTCTGGGGGCCCGGGGCTCTGGGGGCCCGGGGCTCTGACGGGCCCGGGGCTCTGACGGGCCCCCCTGGGCTCTGGGGGCCCAGGGCTCTGGGGGCCCGGGGCTCTGAGGCCCCCCTGGGCTCTGGGGGCCCAGGGCTCTGGGGGCCCGGGGCTCTGACGGGCCCGGGGCTCTGACGGGCCCCCCTGGGCTCTGGGGGCCCAGGGCTCTGGGGGCCCGGGGCTCTGAGGCCCCCCTGGGCTCTGGGGGCCCAGGGCTCTGGGGGCCCGGGGCTCTGACGGGCCCGGGGCTCTGACGGGCCCCCCTGGGCTCTGATCCTGCTGCTGTCTGATGAGTGAATGCAGCTGAAGGTTCTGGCCGGGTTCTCTCTGAGGACCGTTTGCGGTGCTGAAGGCTGAGAGACGTTCAGACTCGTTCAAGCATGGAGGAACTCGGTGGAGATCTGAGGCGGCAGCAGACCCGCCTCCCTGACGCGCTCCTGACCCGGCCCGTGTCTGAGCTTTGAAACCCGATCCGTCTGGCTCAGGCGTGTCGCTCATCTGCTGCGGTTCTGTGGTTTAGGAGGCTCCTGGGTGGAGCTGAGATTTTTCAGCAGGGCGTTGATTCAGGTTGAGCAACATCTCGCCGCAGGTGAAAGGGGGCGGAG